TATGGAAAGTCACATGTCACCAGGCTCGGGATAGGGGTGAGTCAACAGTTATTGCTTTGCAGAGTGCAAGCTTAGTCCTCTGCAGCGGTTCCCAACCTTTTTGGTACCAGGGACCGGTGCTCCTATGAGAATCTAATGCCTGATGATCTGAGGTGGAGCTGAGGCGATAATGCTGGCACTGGGAAGCAGCTACAAATACAGATGAATCTTCGCTGGCTTGGCTGCTGCTCACCTCCTGCTGTGCGTCCCGGTTCCTAACAGGCCACGGACTGGTACCAATCTGCGGCCCAGGGGTTGGGGATCCCTGCTCAGGGGCCCTCTAGGGCATGGCCTATGTTCTCTGGGGACTCAGAGGAAAGGGATGGTCTCATATTAGTCAAGGTGAGCCTGGAAAGAGGAGTGTGTGAATTCTGGCTTCGTTAAAAAAAAAAAGCAAAAAAAAAAAAAAAAGCTCAACACTCTGGTGCTGGAAAAAGAAGCCTTGCTGTGAATTTTAAAGACAAATTCCCATTCTCTCCATGTTTTCCCTAATTTCACACACTGTGTTTGGTTAAATTCCCACTCATTGCCCACAGTTCCAAAGGATGCTTGAGACTGACCATACTTGCTAGGCTCCCGCTGTCTGCTGGACGGTTGGTGCTGAATGCCTTTAGGCCCAGGAAAGATGCTTAAATCCTCAAGTGACTTAGCAGGTAATCTGGTGTAGACCAAAGCAGGAGGTGGATCGCATTCCGCCAGATATTTAGGGTTTTGCAGTCACACCTTGAGGATAGGCACTGTGTATTTTCCCCTCAAATCTTATAAGCATCTCTGTCTTGTAATCTCAATGATTTTGGAGAGAAACCAAGGCAGCTAGTGACTTTCTTGAGCAAAACTGCTTTGCCTGCTGGAAGCAAATAGTAGCATCTGGCCCCATGAGTGACTTCTCAGTTGTTCCCCAAAGCAAAGAAGTAGCATGGGCAAAGGCCGTTGGGGGCTGGTGTGGCAGTAGGTTGGTTGTCATTTGAACTGCAGGAGCAGGAGGTCTGAGGCATAGGGAGGGAGCAGGAAAGGCAGAGAATAAAATGGAGATGGAGGGAGTGGTAGCTCAGGCCCCCTGGGGGGTGAGGCTTCGCTCAGATGGTCTCATCTCTATTCCTGTCTGATAGCTTCTGATAACAGCTGACTTCACTAATGTCCTGAGTTCTCTCTAGTCTTGGTCACCTAACTCCAAAGGGCTGCAAGCAAGGGTTGGGGGATGTGATTCTGGGTGGCAAGTGGTTGTGTCCCATGAACCCTGACTGCACTGGAGTAGGATCTGGGGTCCTGGGTGGGGGAGAATGGCAAAGGACTTTATGTCAGCATCGTAGTCATACTACATCACCTTTCTGGCTTCCGGGCATGGGGGCAGCACTCAGCCAGTGCTGGATGCAGAGAGGAGAATGTGAGGTAGATTGGAGGATGCATGGTGTCGGGGAGTGCTGTGAACTCTCCCGGAAGCTTCTTCTGAAGAGGGATAGCGAGATTGAGCTGTGGTGTTGGTGATGAACATGGAGTCTGTGGTATTTGAATGAAACACATTCTGAAAAATCAATCGGTCCCCTTTTAAACTTCTTGTAGAAAAATATATCCAGAATAAATCTATTTCACATCTCAGTTTTGAAATGGTCTTTAGTTCACAGGTTATTGGTCAACAGAAAACAAGAAGTTGTGACAACACAAAGCCAATTCCAGGCTGCTTTCCTGCATCAAGACTCAGCAGTCCTCGTTCTCTAGGGCAGCAGGTGGTTATCTGCTTTATTGGGGGGTTAAAAGCGGTCCTCCAGGACACGTCCCTGGAGCGGGAGCACTTTTCTACACAGGGGAGCAGGGAGGTGGGGAGAGGGCAGGGGTAGGGGTGGGAACGGCAGGAACTGAGCTTGTCTCTGGCAATGTTATTTCTAGATTAAAGTAAGTGAAGCTTGGTAGTCGTTGCCCCCAGCCAAGATATTAAAGGGCTCTTCTGGCTATTTTGGGAGTTTGGGGGAAGTAGTAGTCCCCTCCCATGACCGGGAGATTTAAGAAAGAAGCCTGGGCCAGACCTAGGCAGGGCTCCCTAGGTCAGGGTTGCTGGGGCTGGCATTTGCTGCCTTGTGCGTGGTCCACGCCCAGGATTACTTGTGCAGAAAGTCCATGCAATTGCCTAGAAACAGACAACCCCCGCTTCCTACCACTGGTCTGTGGGCAGCTGGGCAGGCTTTTGGACCCAGAACCTCCATGCGGGGTTCTTCTCACTTATGTGGGAGAATGAGGGCCCCCATTTCAAAGTTTTAATGTTGTCACAGGTGTGGATTATCTGTGTTTGTTATTTTGAAAAAAAAAATCTATTGAATTTTTGTGAAATTAATTTTATTTCAAAATTCAGTAATTTTGAATTCATTCGAATTCATGAAATAGTGAATTTATTATGCAAGTGGCTTTTTTGGTGATTCTTTTGGTGAAATGAATATTTCTTTAATGTAAAATAGTTTTTTTTTTTTATGTTCATCAGAAGGAAAATTGGCTGGGTTTGCTTCGAGGCCCGCCTGTTGTGATGACATCTTATCCTAGTGGCTTTCAAACTGTGTTCTGTAAGCCTATTGTGGGGCCAGCCTTTCCCCTGCTGCCCCTCCAAGCAATTTGGTTGGTTGCACTGCTGAAAAACCGTTTACTCTCTGGCCTTTGTGAATGTGCAGATTTCACAATTTTCAGGCCCATGATGCCTTGCTCCGATCCAGTGTCTGGCATGTGGGCAGCGAGACCAAGGCCACCATCTTTTGTGACTGCACAGTGAGGACAATCAGAAGCAGATATGCTTTTCGGACATACTTAGAAATGGAAAGAATAGTGGAAAAGGAGAGAATGCTGCAGAACTCACACCCTGTTTAAAAAGCCAGTTGGGATTGGATCGGTCTTTTATTTAGGAATCCTGCAACCCAAACGGGCCTACATTTGGGCCTGGCAGTTGGTAGACTCTTTCTCAGGTGGGCTCGGAGACTTCTGCCAGGGGCCGCGACAATTTAGAAGATGTTTCCAAAGGGTGAAGTTCATGACAGCTGGAAAATTTCAGTGATAAAAGTGGGAGTTTGGAAGTGTATGTGTCAAGAGATTGAGACAGGAATAAAAAGGGTGAGGTGTGTTAGCTGTCCACCCCAGCTATGGTGACATGGCATATTAAGTTTTCGAAGTCAGTTTCCTCAACCTATATCTACATATTTTACCTTTTAAAAAAATCTAAAATGTGAACGTACACATGTAGGCACACTCCTGGGAGTTGTAGGGAACAGGTGTTTGGTGGACCAAGATACAGGAGACACACAGGAAGACTGGCTGACGTCAGGGAACTGGGGGGCGAGGAGTGGGGGACAGGTGGGTTGGGCCATCAGGTGGGAGTGAAAGGGAGTGGTATGTATTTGGAGTGAGGTGGGATCTGTATCTTCCTTTTCCCGAAAGAGGCCAGTTCTCAGCAGCACGGGAAAATCATGGCCGTATTGGCAGGTGAAGGCGCTACACCAGCTAAGGTCTGTGATGTGACCACCTCTCGCAACTCCAGGTAGCTTGCAAAATGATCATTCACGCCAGAAAGCATACCAGTGTGCTTCTCGCTCTGATGTGAGCGGGAAGGAAAGGGGTGCTCTGAGAGCCCAGGGGAGCCTCTTCCTTGCTGAGCTTCTCCAACACAGGCTGCCAGCACAGGGCTGGTTGGGTTGTACTTCTGAGAACCCACCATAGCCTGAGATGTTTGGGAATAA